ACTCCAAGTTGCAGACTGAGTAAACCTAATATCATCAAATGATTTTTTTTTCTGGACTCCACTCTTTTGAGTGTTTGTGAAAGTGAAAATAGGAATTGGTAACAGTTGCTCAGCAGTGCTGATTGCGGACCTTTGACGTGGAAATGTAACAATAAGAGCGTCTTGTCGGTGATCAAATAAGTTTTTATTACCTGCTAGCTATCCCCCTTTCGAGTTCTTTGTAAAAATCTTCCTGCTATTCTGATTTCGGCTTATTGGTCTCCAAATGTCTGTAAGTTATAGCAGACTAAAACCTCATGTTATTTTTCAAGCGTTCTCCTTTTTTGTCCCGACAGAAGGTACAAGAGCACTTCTATTCATATGTCAAAATTGTGCTTGTTCAGGAGCTCTGCGCTGATCGTGAAAAGAAGTTACAACTTGCACTAGAAGAAGCAATAGCTTTGGACGCATCCATGCGCAGCACAGCTGAATGGCTGACAGAAGCAGAGCAGCGACTGGCGGCAATGGTACGATTTGCAGACTTAGCAATAATGCACAAAATGCACCTCGTTTAGGAGCCGGTCAGCCGATTGGTGGACGTGCTGGAGGCGCAAGTCGCGGAAAATGATAAATGGGTTGATGAAGTTGTCGTAAGGTGATTTTAATCTTCCCTAATTTCTTTTCGCTTTCTTGTCTATTTAAAAAAACTCATATACTCAGAAAACAACTAATGGCGGAACAGCAAGCTGCTGGTACGCGACTCCAGTACTATTGCGAGAAAAAAGATGCCATCCCCATCAAAAATGGGCTGGTATCCTTGAAGCATCGCTTCGAGAAAGTATCGAGTAGAACAGCTGACCGCACCAAGGTACTCTCCTTTACTTGAATGGATGGGCAAACTCCAAAAGCTCATTCTTTCTTTCAGCAACTTAATACAGCATTGGATGAAGCTCGGATCTGGGAGAAGGGTATCGCCAGTATTCACGGATTTTTGGATGAAGTCGAAGAAAGTCTCCCCGACGCTCAACTGCCAACAAGTAATGTTGATAAACTGAAGAACTCGTTGGAGAAAATCAAGGTTTGCTTTTCGCTAGGCAAGTTGGAGAATAAAAATGGTTCTTTGAGGTCGTGCAAGCGGATGTGACCTACCGACAAGCCGACTTCGATACTACTTACAAACGTGGAAAGAGTCTAATGGATCGAGCTCCACGATCTGAAGTGAAGAAAATACAGGAAATGTTAGTGAATATATAGCACTGGAAAAATGCAGAATTTTCCTAGGACATCGTTGTAAAAGTGTTATCAGTTATCAAATCTTTTTTAGAAATGAGAAATTGAGAAAGCGTTGGAATGCTATGCTTGAAGCAATCAGTCAAAGACGTCAAGCTGCTGAGCAGGTATCCATTTTGTTCATTTAATCGCGGGGAAAATTGGGAAAGAAAGATGTAATTTTTCCGTCAAGAACAACTTTCATAACGCTTTCAGATCCTCCTCGACAGCAGCGCCTTTGATGAAGCCATCTTGGAATTGGAGTCATGGGTAGATGTTGAACTAGCGAAAAATGCGGCTAGTGACGGAAGAGTTCACGGCGACGTGGAAACTGTGAAATCCCTTGTGGATGAGCACAAAAAGCGTGAAAACGAGCGAAGTGCTAAGAAGAGAGCGTTGGACACCATTATGAGCAAGGTACTAGTGCCATTGCGAGAGATTCATCTGCCTTTCTTGTGACGTATGGATGTTTACAGGCGGCAAAACTATCAGGCAATGATAGCGACGAAAACAGTCACATTAATGGTGTATGCGACAGAGTGAATGAGAAATGGAAACGTTTGGAAGAAGAGGCTAATGCTCGTTCTGAAGCCCTCAATGATGCCACTAAGCGAGCCACTGATTTCGATAAGAAGGTCCATGATCTCCTCGATTGGCTTGTGGAGACGGAAGG